GGACACGGCGGAGATCGCCTTCCAGGTCAAGGAGCAGCTGCTGAAGCACAACATCGGGCAGCGGGTGTTCGGCCACTACGTGCTGGGGCTGTCGCAGGGCTCGGTCAGTGAGATCCTGGCCCGGCCCAAGGCCTGGCGCAAGCTCACGGTGAAGGGCAAGGAGCCCTTCATCAAGATGAAGCAGTTCCTGTCGGACGAGCAGAACGTGCTGGCCCTGCGGACCATCCAGGTGCGGCAGCGAGGTGAGGACGCACCCTCCTGGCCGGACCCAGGGGACGGGCCGACTCCCGGCTTCCAGCGGGGACAGCCAGGGCGAGCCGCTGCCCTCCTGAGAAACCAGGGGCTGTCTTGCCGCCCCCATCCTGCTCGCCAGCCTCCGGGGCAGCTCCCATGGCGGTGGTGGGGGAGGCTGCCCGGGAGGACTCCTGGTCAAGCCTCAGCTTCCCCATCCTGCTGGTCACGGTCTTGCCAGGTCTGACTTTTAGGGTGAGCCTGAGTTCGCGTCCCACTGAGTAACCTCGGGCAACACACTGTAGCTCCCCTGTGCCTCGGTTTCCTCATGTGTCCACCTCGGGTTGGGAGGCGTCATCAGCGAGTGCAAAGCCCAGAGCAGCTGGCGAGGACGCCACGGCGGTGCTGCTGCCGCTGTCCTGGCCATTATTTGCAGCCACGGTCACCCCGGTGTCCAGTTTGTCGCAGACTGAAAAGCAGCGGCCCAGCCTGGAGCCCCTCGGGAGGAGATGGCAGCCCTGCTCTTCAGCCCCAACGTGCAGGTCCCCACAGCAGATGCCTTCTTGCCCCCCCAGGCAGCATCACCCCAAGAATCCGCACGCCGGAGACAGGCTCTGACGATGCCATCAAGAGCATCCTGGAGCAGGCCAAGAAGGAGATCGAGTCGCAGAAGGGGGGTGAGTGTGATGGCACAGGTGGATGGGGCCCCACAGGAGTCCACGCAGACCCCAGCCCGTGGCCCAGCGAGATCTGGGCCTGGGAAGAGCCCACCTGTGTCCCCTGCCCAGAGGCCGCCCGCCCTGGGTGGCTTCTTCCATTTAAATGAGCTGCAGTTAAATGAGAGGGCGACTTCTGCGCTCGGGCCACGTCTGCGTGGCAGGCAGGTGGCACG